TCAGAGAAGATCCTGTTCCAAAACGTGCAGGCGGCGTGGTGGGGAGTCAAGGCAGACACTCTCGACAACCTGATGTGCGGCATACCGGAGCGTATACGCCAGTGTATACGACTGTGCGGGACTATAATGGTAAATGAATCATGAACCGGTCTCTTATATTTTCTCTGTTGATGATCTGAGGGCGATACAACCGCGCATCAATTTCGGGACACCCTGTACAACTACAAGACAGACAACATAATCATTTAGCGTTGTTTAGATAGCACAGTAATAATAGCCTTATTCGTGGGAGAGAAAAAAAAACAGGACGATGAAGATACAGATGGATTGATATTTCGGCAACGTGCCTTTATCGAAACAATAGCAGAGGTGCTATTTCTTTATTTCTCATGCCTTTATCAAAAGTTAAAGCAAAGTAAAACCATCCTTCCCAGAGAAAAGTGTTATTTCCTTTCTTGTCATGCCTTTATCGAGACTTCTGCCATTGTTTCGACAAAATCATGCTGCCAAAACATCAACCCATCTATGTGTCCATTCTCCTGGTTTTTCTCTGACGAATACGGTTATTACTACTGTGCTGCCTATGTAAATAATGTTCTCGCACATGTCCCGAACAACTGGCGCTGCTCAGCATAAATTCAATATTGAAACAGCAAACCAATGAGCCTGTAACAGCACAACGCTTGGCCTACAATAACAAAAATATGAAGTCCTTTTTAGCCAAATATGCCTTTCGAAAATTTGTGCGTGCGTTGCGTGTGCGTGCGTGCGTGCGTGCGTGCGTGTGGTTGTGCGTGCGTGCATGCGTGCGTGCGGTTTGTGCGTGTGTGTGTGTGCGTGTGTGTGTGTGTGCGTGCGTGTGTTGTCTCGCATTTCGTCATCCTCCAATGTTTGCCGCCCGACTGATTTACTTGCTTTGAGAATTTGGAGCGAATTTCGTAAGTTGTGAAAGGTACTTGCTAGGAACAGTCTTCACGTAGATAAAATACTTCTAATAGCCTTATTCCTCGAAGAAGAAAAACCGTACAATAGGGATATAGATGCGTTGATGTTTCGGCTATATGCCTTTATTAAAACCGGTGAGCTAGAATCGCTTTTGGACTAGGGTGGGAATGAAAAAATTTAATCGCAAAAAGACCATACGGGAGTGAAAACCCATACAAACATGACACTTATGGGTCGGTGAGAGATGCTCCCGCAAACAAAGAGATACATTTCAAGTTGACGTGGATGTAATATCATAAACATGACAAAAACTTGTTTTCAACATCTCGGGTCATTAAAGTGAAACAGAATACCTTAAAGAATAGCGATTTCATAACGGTGTGATCAGCATAAAAAACTATGTAACATCAATGTTTTGATGCTGCAATTGCACTTCTCTTCCACAGGATTTTTAACACAAAACAAAACAAAGGAATTCAACAACAAAACAACAACAGAAAATTCAATGAGCATAAAGCATTCAAACAAAAGGGCCTTGTACTCCTGAATATCAGCACATTACCGATTCAAACACAACAAACATACCTCTGGCTTCTGTTAAGATGGGGTTAGGAAATACAAGCATTATGCCCCTGTTTCTTACAAAACACCAGTGCTTATTTCCATGAAAGCAACATAACTAAGCCTAACCTAAAGAAGCCTTACCTCATCTCATCCTGTCCAACCTGTTTGTACCACAGCAACATTTGTGAGTCACTGATCCTCGCACAATTCCTTCTGCCGCTTGCCATGGAATTAGCTAACTTAGCTTGATTAAGGGCAGCCCATATGTTGAACATCATCTCAACTTACGGGACCTATTTGTTGATAGCAGCGCTTGTGATAAAAACATGCTAAAGCTTATTTTTGGCTGGTTTCAACTTGTGTTTTAATTAATCTACTTAACCTAGCTTAGAGGAACCTATATGTTTAACATCATCTCAACTCGCCTCACGTATCTGTTCACAGCAGCACTTGTGATAAAGACACGATCAAGCCCATTTTTGGCTGGTTTTATCTTGTGTTTTGGTTCAGTTCATTTGTGTCAGGCTGTTGTCAATAGACAAAGTTGACAGCATACAAATAAAAACACAAAATCACTATGAACAACTTATTCTGATTGTCATGGTTCACCTCTGTCAAGGACAATAGCGGGTATGCTCCACAACACAACACATTCTCTCTTCTCCAAACGTAATACAACTTAAAAATGGCTACACCAGTTTTGCTGCTTGCTTTTTTAGCCGCAGCAAAGGCATCCATTTAGGTTTGTTTACTCATATATAACGACAAAGCTTGACATAATGGCTTCACATTTTGAATGGAATGGTCTGACTATTTGCTACATGTTGATATCCACCTCATGTTGGAATTGCTATGTAGATTAGATAATTACTGTGTTAAGAATACAGTGCATATCTACAGTACAGTCATTTTCCAGTCAGCGAACCATGCCTACTATGGAAAACATTTGGTTAAAGGGAATGTTCCACATTTGAATACATTGAGAAAAGCATCAGGTATGATGGGAAAAGCTTACTTGTGACTATTGGTAAGCTTTCAAGGTTCAAAAACGACCCTCAATAGCAAAATCTCAAAGTTTGAAAAATGCGCCCCATTACACTATTGTTCGATGGCATTATGGAGTGGTTTTGTGACGACAGCAATATCTGGCAGCATCTGGCAGCCAGACCTAAAGAATACCTCGAAAAGCACCAAAGCTGACGCCAACAGGTCATTCTCGTCGAGGGCGCAGCGTTGGGTGGCCGATTAGTGAATGGCTTGTTTGTGAATTTTTTGTCTTGTCTCCCAGTAAACATTTCACACTTTTGCGGGCGTATAACTCAGGAGCCAGAGGGTTTGGGTCTTAGGAGGGGCATGGCCGTGAACTGCATGAAAAGGTCCTCAAAATGTCTATTTCAGTTCAAAACCCGAAGTAAAAGGGAACGTTCCCTTTAAAGCACACCTGAGGGACCACTTCAACAAATTTGATCCAATTAATCAACAGTATGGGACAAAGAAGTTCACTTTTATGTCTTGTGGCATCACATTTTGTCTTATGGAAAAACTCGATGGACTGAAACAGAAAATGGCTAAATCTGGCTGCAAATAATGTGTTCAAAGCAGGCAATGTAGGCAATTACTCGCTCCACAGAAGACTTACTAGCTTTTTAAGGGCTGACTTCAATTTGCTCCCCTACACAAAAAGTCAGTACCTTTCGCATAACTTACTGACAGACGGGGTCATCGAACTCGCCCCCAAAATATGAATGTTAATTATGCCCACCAGGCTAAATGATTAAAATGCGAAACAAGTGAGAGGCCTGCATGATAAACGGTGTCAGAGGTCGGAATTTCGTTATCAAACACTTCCGTATTAGCTGCGTCAGGTCTGTCCAAAAGCCGTGTACGGCAGGATAATGTAACATGGTGAGGGAGCGAAACTGGAATGGCTTATAATTATCATTATCGGGCGTAGCCAAGAGCTCCCCTCCCCCTAAAAAACCGGCTGAGGGTTTAACAGGGCAAAAATGGCGGTAAGAATACGTTATGTGCTTCAAATTGTCTCCTTCATGCCCTGTGAGTTATTTACTCTCGGGTGCACATCAAACACGTTTGGCGGCTGGCCAATTAGTCCCATTTATGTATAAAATACGTGCAAGTTTGCAACTGGAACATTTTGCAGAGAAATTGGTCAACATTTTAAGCCATAGATGGCATCTTCAAAGGCAATTAGAAAGAAAGGAAAAATGAAGTTGTGTTACACTCGTATGATACGAATAAAAATAACACTAATTAAATAAGAATTAAGACTAACAGCTTTGTGGTGTAATTTTCTAATCAGCTGATTTGACTAGAAACCCGTGATGGCAAGTGGGCAAACCGTGATATTCAGCTTTTAAATTTCATTTAGGAGACACTCCTTAATTTTCCATTCCTGCATTTCGGAGGTGGTGCAACTTAGTGGTGGAGCATACACAGACCTTGCGCATACATAAACATGGCTCAAATGTAATTGAGGCAGGATATAGCGATAGGTGTCCAGGTTCTGTAAAGCCTTGTTTATGCCTGATGGTTCCGTCAAGGTTTTGGATGCCATCTTAAAACCTCGGAAACGGAAAGATTGGTTTGGTATGTGCGGTTAGACAATATTAAATTGCTATTCTGAAACTGCTTACGGATAGTACGTATGTTTGGTATGCTTCTGCTATTCGCTTCAATAAAGGCGTGTTGCCGAAATACCGACGAATCTGTATCCCCACTCTAATGTTGTTTTTTCTCCGAGGAATAATGCTATAACTACTGTCTTATCTATGGGAACGAATTTTCTTGAAACCTTAGCTGGCTTTGACTGATATAAATGACTATGGAACTGATTGATGCACACCCACAGGCACACATCCACAAACCTCACGACACATAGCACGGTGTGAACTTCACATGGCGACTTTCCACCGACATACGCCATCCCAAAGGAACCATTTCTACATTGGTATTGATAAGACGCCGGTGCATACCCGGACGTGCAACAGACGTCTGGACAGGAAGGATGCTGAGAGCCTGCCAACGAAGGACCAGTTATTGGGAATGCGTCGGGCACAGCCGGCTGGCACTAGCTGACGTGCCGCCCCGTTCATTGGCAGTCGTGTGGCCGCTCAAGGCTCAGAAAGTGAAGCCTCCGGCGCCGCTCGGCGGCGTTTATTTGGTCCGCCAGTGGCCAGCCACGCGGCCGGCACCACCACCGTGGAAACGTGACCCACTTCGGAGCAAAGCAGGGGGGATGGGGACAGAGGTCTGACCGACCCCCCCCCCCCCACGGCCGCCGCGCTGGTCTTGATTTCTTGCCGATACCCGACGGACCCTGTTAAGAGCTTACCGGCGCGCGGCTGTCAGGCCTGCCCCCGACCGTGCCCCGCACCACAGCCACACGCAGACTGCAGCCGGGCGGCTCTCTCCGCGTGCGGGGCACGCTCCGCCCTCTGCCCCGCGCCACTTAAGTTCGGAGCCCCGGAGGATCATGTCCGCGGCACCGCATGCAGGCCGGGGCGTTGCGCAGTTCGCGGCTGGCAGCGTCCGGCCGCGGTCAGCGCGGGGGTGGGACCACTGCTGGCTCCTCGCGGAGCGGGAGGGAGGCCAGAGTACAGCAGCACGCGGACGCGACACAACCAAGAGCCGGTCGACCGGCAGACAGACAAGACCAGCATGGAACAATGACGATTAGAGAACCAGCGCTCTCCAAATGGTCTGCCGCGGTCCCAGGGCTGGACACGGAACAGCTACTGCGGACCGGTGCGGGGGGAACCGGGCGGGGCTGTACGCGGAAGGGGCACTGTATACAGTGAGGTGTGCAGCGCGCGTGACAGACTCCCACACGCGTGACGCGCACATGCGTGTTCTAATTAAATTATGCTAATGGACCCAAAGCTTAAACATCCATTTCGAGATCTCATTCGCGGCCAAACACAAAGCTATGAACAGGAATGAATCGACTCAAACCTCACTCGTAGCCCGCGAATCATAACTCCACTAATGACCCACAGCGATCCACACAATCTGTGGGTTCACTCATTCCCAACAAAGACGCGATTCACGACTCGTGATCCAACGTGCAGACACGCATATATTTTCATGTATGCATCTCCATACCATCCGCACCAATCGAAGTGTAGGAGATAGTGGGCTCCTAATAAACCGCTTTTACATATTTCGGGGTAACTATGGGCGCTCACTCCCATTACATGCATGAACGTTGACTGGAGGCTCATATAAACCCAACAGAAAGCCCAATAGATATTCCAAAAGAACGCCACTGTATTTCGGATCCCACTGCCCTGTTCAGCGTTTCGTGTAAGATTAACTAGGAGCCGACACAGATAGGGGACTTAAACGAAACACCAGTCCCTGATTAGGATGGAATGTTCCAACCAAATCCCCGAGAGGACGCCTCTGCGAATGTTCCGCCCCAGCATTGTACATGCGGCGGGTATCCTCTGCATGGCCTACCGAGAGCGAGGTGTCAGGGCAAGCAGACAATGCAAGCGAAACCATTATGGCCCAACTGTGCTGCAACATCCTTTCAGACTTCATGCACGAGCAGAACAGAACGAAAAGAAAAACAAAAGACAGCACCTGATGTAACAGTGGAAATACATGGCAAGAGGGCAAGGGAGTCTTGCGCACAGTGCTGCCTCAATACGTGCGCACACAGCGCCCTCTAAAACATAATAAATGGAAACATTGTAAGGGCGGTGCGAAGCCCCAGACGCTGAACAATAGAATCACTTCACGTGATGTCATGTACTTGATATAAATGATCGGAACATTGAACAATTTCGGCTGGGCCAGGCCGGCCAGGCCCAGCCGTGACACCTTACAGGAGCTAATATCCTCGCAGCTTGCTGTTCAATGCAACTTTCGGAAACCAAAAACGCAATTGTTCGAAAGTTAAGCCGTACAATTTGTAGGATTTTGTACTGGATCTTATTTGATGAAGGACAATTTTCATAGAGCATTCTAATTTGAACAAAATAACATTTACGCTCTGTCAACACGGACAATTGTAAGAACTGTTCACCGCGTATCAGCTGAGCCAAAGGTTCCCAACTCGCCTGGGGAGATAACAAGATACGAGACTAATAAATTTGGACTGAGAAAAGGATGGCCAATGGTCATAGCAAAAGCGTGTATGGAGAGAGAAGGTGGAGTGCGGAAAAGTGCGTGGAAAGTGTGGTTTGGGGGCGTCTTTGATGGCTACCGGCAGATCTCCGGGAGCCCAACAGATAAAGACGTGAAGCAAACAGCACACCGGCCAATGCACCGTCCGCAAATCACTAGGCCATCCCAGAAAATGCTTTTTGCAAAACATTAGGTTCTAGACTGCATGACATGACTACAGACTCGCCAATTTCGCCTGCTGACGTTCTCAGAACCTGGGCTAGTTTAATGAAACAACGATGGAATGCGCCATATCTATGAATCATTTACGATATAGATAAGATATTAGGGCTTGCCCCCGGCTCCCATGCATACACGACACAGCCAAGAAATGCGTACGTTTGCCTTTCGCCACATGATTCCATTCCCCAGATATACATACGGCCTGCCAATTTTCCAGCAGCATTGTCCGCATAACGAGCGCGGAGGCTACGTCGGTGGAGCTCTACATGCTAAGTCCTCATTAAAAGAAGGCTTTCCAGCGCATTGATCAGTCCACTGAGGAGCCGAGTACACAGGCTGATGCTCGCCATGAAGAGAACGAATGTTAAAAAACTATTAAGATGTATTTTGTCAACGTCATTTTCGGCATATTACATCGAATAAAGATAAAATGACGTTCACGTCTGTACACTTTTGGAGACATCATTATCTCAGTTAGCAGCATTGGCAAAATAACGTTTAAATTTATAAAATAATGACCAACACCCTACTTAACTATCACTACATTTATTCATGAATCTCACCAGCACAGGTTTCCGAGATGTCTGGTCCCATTACCCTAGCCTTTGGCATGATCAAAATGATAATTGCTGATAACCGCATCGCCACGCTCATCACGCGTCGCCTATGGTACCTTAGTGGCTGTATTCAGTCACGTTCAAAATATTACACATCGCGCAGTGCAAATTTCATTTTTTATGGTGATAAGATCAGATAGTCACGAAGCCGCAGTACAGCTTCTCCGAATTAGTCTTTACTGCGTACTCGTACTGAACTGCACACGTCAGTGTAAGTCGTCCTGCTATTTTCGTCCGAGCCATTTATGTATTGCACGCCTTCACAGGATCACTGGATATTATTGCAGAACGTATTTGTTGCGTTGCTATTTGCGCTTACTTCATATCATGCCGTGCGTTTGCTGATGCCAATGGTGTCAGCACTTTAATCATACAGCAGGCGACACCGCATTTTAATGCGTAATTTGATTGACAACTGCGTACATGGTTTTTGCAACCATTCCATCAGAAGACCAAAACCTATGCGTTACAAGGTCCTGTACTATACATGACAGGGTGCAAAAATATTCAAATTGTTGGATATTCTGTTCTTCATCCTCATATGAATGTATATGATATAAAAAATTCATTCAGATCATATTTCACATAAACACGACCTATGAACTTAAAATTGTAGTCATTTGAATTATTGTTCGTCATTGGCTTCATATCTAAAACAGCAGACCTTTGATTCGACGCCTGGCTCATGATTGAACACATAATTGACCCACTGGAATCGATTTCCCTCGCAACTCGTAAGGCAACCTTTGATTCATAAGACACCTCTTGATTCGGCTCAAGGCGGCCACAAGTATGGTGCAACATGCCCTAAGCCGCACCAATGGCACACTCACGTGAAACTGCATCGCGATATCATATAGCCAACAATCAAGTACGAACACCGTCAATACTTGTGGAATAAGCAGTTCTAACGAAATGAATACAAAACACTGTACGGTTAGAGTACTCCTTTGAGAACCAAAGCTCAGATTATCGGACCCGCAAGTAGAAAATATATCTTGTACCTCGGTCAGGAAATCCTGCTTACCCTACCTAGCAGAAGCACAGCTAGGGCGCATTAAAAAAACCGCGTTCCGCGCGCTACTTTCATGCTGCCCCGTCATTCTGCTGTCACGTGTCATGCGCGTTCCCATTGCACCGATATCGGCCGGTGGCATGCGTCGCCAGTCGGCGGGGCCGCCGCGGCAGACTCACCTTCTTGATCTCCTCCACATACTCGAGCATGGCCTCCTCTGGCGGCATGTCGCCCAGGCTCTTCCAGGCACCCCACTTGGCCTTGCCCACCAGATCCCAGAAGGAGGGCGCCGGCTGCGTACAAGGTCCCTCCGTCGCCTGCTTGAAGAAGCCGTACAGCTTCAGCTTCATGTCGTTCGAAGGCTGGAACGGACCTGCCGAACACGCAGCGGGGCGCCTTGAGCCGGGCCGGACGAGACGGGTGGCGGGGGTAGGACTGTAGTCGCACGCCTTTCCGTCCACGTACAGCCCAGCCCTGACCAGGAGCGGACCATGCTCTGCGGATGCGGCCAATCAGCTGCGCTACGATATGCGCGCGGATAGGTCTAACGCCGTGCTCTATAGCGCACCGACAACGTCCGTAATGAATACTTAGCAATTACACTCTCGTCCATGCATGTGAATGCACAGGACCCCTCCTGGTCAGGCCGGGTTACTGGGACCAACCACGAGGTTCGGTTACCGTTTTTGGGCAGGCCCCTGATCAGGTGCACGGCCGCGTCGAACTGCTTCTGCGGGCAGGCGCCGGCCATGGTGCTGCGTCGGAAAGCGCGGTACCTGCAACAGAGCGGGAGTGCGCCAGGAGCCAAAGTCGGCGCACTGCGACCGGACGCCGTGCCAAGGTCACAGCCGATCACCGGCCAGACGGCACTCACACCGCGCAACACTCCTGACGCAGCAGAAGTCACATGGGAGAGAGACGCCGCTCGGGGCGCGTCTCTTTATCAGCGTAATCGGACAGACGTGGCCACGGCTGCGTCGATAGCCAGCACACGACTGAGGCACGCTGGCTGCCGATGACGGGACCTGACGGATCGCAACTTGGGGGCCGGCTGATGTAAAGCAAGTGTAAGCATGAGCCCACAGTACTTTGCCGTGCAGCCCTAAGGATACTCGCCTACCCACCCCGGACAAGTAGGCGAGTGTGGACGAGGAGGCGAGTGTGGCGTCTCTCGACCCCGGCGTCAGATTCCGACAGTTAACGGTGCTAAGCATAGCGCAAATATCAGTACAAGTGTCATCGGACTGATACATGCTACAACCGCAGCAGTTTCCACACGATGATGAAGCAATCATGCGATTCCGGCATTATGTCTTTTTATCTTTTTTTCGAGGCATAGTGATATGACCATCTATCTCAACAGAAGGTCATTCTGACAACGATTTACCAGTCGTTTTCAAAGGAACGCTTCAACGCACATAGCTGAACGGCCAACTATCCGCAGCTAGTCATTCAACAATATCACTGAATTAGACTGCCTGTATGCGTCATGTACGCCTAAATACAAAGAGCAGCACAAGGAAATCCGGCAAAATTTCAGTCCCGAGAGCAGGCTGTATCTTTTTGCACTACACGAAAAGATACGCGGAAAACAAGTGATATTCGTGTTTTAAGTGCAAGTGAACCCTAAGGTTGCGACTTCATTATTCATGGCATCATCCAGCACACCAAACAGCATAACAGCCCGACGCTAACACACCCAAGTATGAATCCCACAGCAGCCTATAAAACATTCCAGACCCACACTGCACCTGTTATAATTGACATAAACGCTTCATATCAGCGAGAAAGGCCATGGGTTTCTCTTTTTTGGAGGATATCGTTAATTCAGAATTATAATACTGACCGTTACCGACCTTCGATACACCAGGAGGCGCTGGTTACAGGATATGATCAAGCAAACACTGATCAGACTGTGAATACTCCACATTTCCAGCTGTGCTCATCCTCACAGGTGATCATGACGATGGTGACTCACCTGTGACCATGAGCAAAACTTGAAACATCGAGTATTAACAATATAACCAATGTTTGCTTGAAAGCATCCTTCAAACAGTACCTCATCGCACACTGAAGGTCAATTGCTATCAGGATAAGACCTTTGGATTCACGAAACACATTGCAAGAGCGCACAAAGATAACCATTTCACAGAAATTGTGCCGGAGGCAATGAAGAATACCAACTCGCGACGCGTCTCACAGTAACGACGGCTGCGTCGTCAGACAAAAAAACAAACACGCACAGCGTACCCCATGATGGTGTGCCACACGCGCACAGCGTACCCCATGATGGTGTGCCACACGCGCACAGCGTACCCCACGATGGTGTGCCACACGCGCACAGCGTACCCCATGATGGTGTGCCACACGCGCACAGCGTACCCCATGATGGTGTGCCACACGCGCACAGCGTACCCCACGATGGTGTGCCATACGCGCAGGACACAGACAAAATGAAAACACCATACAAACATATACAATGGCACATACCCGCGCCCAAATCTACAGATGTATGTCAAATGCATCATATGGCTCACAGACGTAAGAAACCGCTTCCGACCGCTGACAATCTTGCTAGGCACCGTACTACTCAAGCCGACTTGCAAACAGCAGCTGATGCTAAATATTGCGAGGATCTGTTGGTTCTAGTGCGAGACTTTAAGAACAACCCGAAAAAATGTTGGCCCTTCGTTAAATCCTTAATGTCATAAGGGCATATATCTCCCGTTCCCGAGTGCCATGACAATGTGTGTAAGGGTGATGAGGAGCGTGCCAACTGTCTGAATATGTGTTTTGCCCATAAGTTCTGCGACCCAAACGTTCCTACATTGCCTGGCCCTCCTTTGCTCGATGCGCCTGGATTAGACAGCTTTACCGTACCACATGGCCGTATATCCCACCTGTTTGCGATCTCAGCGCTCCCAGGGCCCGCGGCCCCGACAGGCTCAGTGTCCGGATTCTCAGGGAGTATGCCGAGGAGCTAGCTGTTCGGTTAGAAATAATATGCAAGCTTTCCCTAAACTCTGGCGTCTTCCCCGCCATGTGGAAATAAGGGAACGTGATACCGGTGAACAAGAAGCGGCCCAAAAAGGTGCCTGAAAATTACAGGTCAGTGTCTTTGCTTCCTATCTGCTCAAAAATATTGGAAAACATTGTGTACGAAAGCCTCTTACAGGTTCGTTTGCCTGCCCTGCCTTAGGTCCTAGCACAGATTCCTTCCAAAGGGCTCCTGCATAAAACAACCTTTCATGTCTCCTTGAGCACTGCTGGACATCTATCTCAAAAGGCCAACAAACAGATACAATTTACACCGATTACTCTTCAGCATTCACCAGCGTCCATCATCTTCTTCTGCTACACAAGCTTCGCTATTCTTTTTGCATCACTGGCCGCATGCACAGCTGGCTGGAGTCGTGCGTGAGCAATCGTTCACCATGCGTAGTGCTGAACGGCACGCAGTCTGAGTGGACTTCAGTGCGATCTGGTGTCCCGGAAGGCAGCATCCTGGGACCGTTGCTTTTTGTCTGCTTTCTGGCCAATGTTCCTAACGAAACGGAGGGTGAGTGTCTTATGCACGCTGATGATGTGAGAATTTATCACCGAATCGACAACGTAGCAAATCGTCTCACACCTCAGGCGGATTTGGATCGCTTTTGTGAATGGTCCAAAAACTGTGGACTGAAACTGAACCCAGCTAAGTGCAATACCATCTCATTCACCCTTCGCACGTCACCTGTTCCCTATTCATACGCACTGGACAGGTACCGTTTGGATAGCTGCCAGCAGATTCGCGATCTTTGCGTCTTCCTGGACACTAAACTCAATTTTCCCAATCACATAGATTCAACTGTCTCCAAAGCAAACAGGATGCTGAGCTTTCTCATGCGAAGCGTGCAAATTCCGTCGAGTCCACGTCAAGCGCGGTTCAATCACAAGGCTCTGCTTTGTGCCTTCGACGCTCATGTGAGACCATTGATATTGTACGGTACCGTTATTTGGTGCGGTTTCCGTTTCCCATCTCGCCCGCTTCGAAACGCAGCACCGGTTTCTCAAGTGGCTGGGTTCGAGTAGCCCGGTGTCCTCCACTGGATTACGAGCATTTTTTCGCTTGCTTCAAAACACCATCATCAAGGCACGCTTCACTCAGTCTGACGTCTTATTTTTATAAAACGTATATCATTACAGGCTTGACTGCGCCCACCTGACATCACTGTTCGGTCTGGCTTTACACCCGTCCGGCGTCCTCGGCATACCGGCCTTTTCCATGAGTCATTTGCAAGGGTATACACTGCTAAAAATGGATTTGTAGCACAGATACCCATTGTCTGCAATCATTGTTTACAACATTCTTCCACAACTGGCTTTTTCCACCCAACAAAATAATTCCGATCTGATCTGTTTAGGTTCACTGGCACACGTGAAACCTTCTCTTGATGACCGTTGTGTGTAGCGTGCGTGCGTGCATGCGTACGTACGTGCGTGCGTGCGTGCGTGCGTGCGTGCGTGCGTGCGTGCGTGCGTGCGTGCGTGCGTGTGTGTGTGTGTGTGTGTTTGTGTTACGCTGGTTTTTGTGTGTGCATGTATCATATACTTATTGTTTCTAAACTGGACTGCTTTCATATTTGGGCTTTTGCCTGTGGAATAAGTGTCCCCTAAATAAACAAATAAACAATCATCCTCAAGAAACAACGAGACTTTGTAATTTAGTACCAGACGTTTTTTAAAGGTACATGCAGCCAAGGTCCTTAAAACAAGCAAGGAATGTGCCCTGCTTGAAATACTTAAATTGGAAGCCAAAACCAGAGTGCCATATGTAAACAAATGTTTTCGCATGGGGAGGGGTCAGGTGTTGCATGACAATTTGATTTACCCGAATCTGCTGAATGTGACCATGCATGTCCTGAAATGTGGAGCCTGTAAGATGCATGTATCTCAAACACATTCCACAGTTCCAAACTTGCTCAGACATATTCACACATGCATCTCACATAGGTTCCACATGTCCAAACTTCCATAATCGCATTCACACGTGAATCTTACATAAGTGCCACACTTCAGAACTTGCACATTCACATTCAGCAGGATTTGGGTCAATCTATCCAGACCGGAAAGTGTTTAACAAAATCTGACTGCTTCCACACACAAAAACATTCATTTGCATGTAGCCTTCCAGTTATGGCATCCAACTTTGGAGTTCCTTTGGCGTGACACATTCTGAGATTGGGTTGAGAAACTGTAATTTTATATGATGTTGTGATAAATGAAATACATCTGTATATTTGGGGTGGGTCATGTGCAATTGCATGTGCTTGTGTGGAATTTCCACTTTGTGTTGTTGTGCATGTGTCAAGCCACCATGGTGTACACTGTACATGATTATCTTTGCCTGACAATGCAGCTGTTAGCTGTGTAAACTGCAGCTATTAGCAGAAACATATCACAAGTTCATATCAGAAAAGGAAGTGGATCAGCATATGCCAATATGTGGCATATATGTATATGGGTCTGTATATGTAAATGCAAATGTGAATGCATCTCTCTGGGCCTGCACCCAGTCAAATGCATGTCCACGCATGTGGCATGCATGCATGTGTGCATGTGTGCATGTGTACATGTGTGCATGCATGCATGTGTGCACATGGGTTACATCTGTGCTGTATGCACCTACATAACCTTAAAATACAACCAGAATTGACCACACAGTCAAAACTACAGCTGTGTTTAGTGAGACAAAAAGCTAGCATCTCATACAAATAAAAACAAACACTTATTTGAATGAGTTACAGAAAATATGATACACCAGTCGGGATGTACAATCTCAGATATTCAAACATTGTTAGGCATGTGCACAATCAAGTTCTTTGACACTGAGCTGCAGCTTATCTAATAAGCATATTTACCTTTCTAGAACAACAATATCACAATCAGAAAGACTCTCAGTTCCCTGCTCCACAACATGATGAGCCTTCCAGGGTTCCATTGATAACACGCTTAAACTGTTTTGCTGGCAACCTGGCAACAGACAACAAAGGAGATGAACTTATGCAGAAAGTGACAGGAAGGTAGGTAAACCTCAAGAAAATTGTCATCAGAAAATGATGTGCTGGTGCACTTGTGATGGCTGCTACCCATGTTCAGATGCACATTGTATAAAGCTGAAATACCATGAATATCATGTTGTTTGGACATCTTTACAAGATTCTTAAATTCTCAATGCATTCTGAATATCTTGAATCAATTCAGAAGTCAGTAGCACAGTCAATCAGAGCAACCTTGATAAACCGATCACAAAATTAAAAAAATAAAACCCATAGACTAGCAGCAGCATTGCACACCACCTCATGACCACACCACAAAAATACAAAGTATGGACATGCCAGGCATAATGTTGGAATTAAGCACACCACATGCACATGCATGCCATAAATCCAAGTGTTTAACACAGTCAAGGCAATCATTTGAGTGGATGGAGAGAACTGAAATTCTAGGGCATTAGAATGATATAATGGTAATTGCACAAACAATTAAATCAAGTGTCATTCTCTGCCAAAAAGTGACCCAAAATTAAGCACCATTCAGTGTAAAATGGACTTGGCACACATCTACAAGTTTCCATTAATGGTATTACTGATATGCATGTCACTATAAGGTCTCATGCAAGTAACTGGATTTTTCATGTGGAAGAGCGCAAAAGGAAAACATAAAAAATCTTCTAATTTTCTACACCACACTGATCCACTAAAAATAATCTGACATCTGCAAACTCGATGACATTATCCTTCATGACAAAACTTTATGATCTCACACCAGACAGTTGTCAGGCTCGATCACTGAGACTGAGACACTGAGAGAGAGACTAGCCTTCAAGCATTTAGCCACCATTGCATTCTATTTGAATTTCTTTTAAGTTAAGATACTCTAATCAAACCAATATGCCTTGCCTGGTAGGTTTGTGACATGCTGTGAATAACTTACTGTTCAATTAGAATGGTTATGTCAAACATTGCAAAAAGGACACCATACAGCCAGCAAAGAATTGTTGAGGCTGCAACAATATCATAAGTAAGAACCCTTGCAAATGTAGCATGTTGGTGATGATCTCAATAATGACCTGTTAATCTCAACAGCCAGGCTGTAAAAGGCACAAATGTATTAAACATGCTCAGCCTAAAAGTAAACTCATGATAATAAGTTCAGTGCATGTATGCTGAAAATTTGAGCATGTTGAATTTGGTGCACAGTTGTTGCTAATTCCAGTGCACTAACAGGCAATATTTCACAGAATAATAATGTTGCAAAGGCTATTTCCAGTAAGAATGCCCCAAGATGTATGTCAAGCAATGCCATCAGATAATTTAGCACATTTTGGACCACCCAGAGAATGGTGCACATGTACCATATTCAGTGCACCCACATTCTGTATGCATGTAGCAGTAATGAATTTTTGGCAGGCTGGCACAGAGGTTCTGGTACATCCAGACTCATTATACCTGCCTTCCAAGAGCAGTTTGTTTGTATTGCTCCAAATGAAAGAAGCTTAAAAAACATGGTTTTAAGCACATGAAAACTTTCCAATTAAAACAGCAAACTCATATTACAACATATGAAAGTTATGCTTTGAGTTTCATAGCCCCTCACTTGTACCGATTCACAATACCACACAGAACACACTTGTTCTGTCTTTGAAACACACTGAGCAACTTGACGCTTGCCTGCCAACGTTCAAGCAGGGTCCGTCGGAATCCGATTAAAAACCAGCCCAGCAGGTTTTTGTTTCCGGACTGGTAGTCAACCAGTTATCACCAACTGTGGGACACCATACATGGACAAACAGAACTAGCATGACACTAAACAAACCGAAATTAGAATGCATACCCACAAGACAAAAACAAAGACCATATCGCTCGGAAACTCACCAGCAGAAGGAGCGTAACCACCAACAGCGTATCAGACAGTAACTAGTTTCGGGCCTGAGGACAGGTACATTCCCCTGCCAGGATGTAAACAAACAACGCAGTGAGATGGTTTTGGCGCAGTAATGACAAAATATTTTGCACCAAACATGTCATTATTTTACTGCTTCAGCCACAGACTGCTTAGAACAAGTCCGCAATTATTTTTTTTCAAAAGAAGAGCAATCTGAAATCCAAAGAGCGGTTTTCCAGCTACAAAATTAACTGTCAACTAAGTTATTACGAGATAGCGTTTTTTACGCCGGCACGGCTGCAGAGCTCTTTTAGCGGCAGCGATTCTCAGCGGCACTGAGAGATTCGAAACGTCCGAACGGCTGGTTAAGAACCACGCCACCCGGGTGGTAAGGGGGGAGGAGCTCTGAGATTTCAAAAGCTAAGTGAGCTAGAAACACCGTGTACACGACGAAAAAGCTAGCACATCACCTCCTAGTATGAAATTTTGTGGTCCTGGGATTGACCTCCGGATCGAATAGTCAAACAAGGTCAAACTTTAGATCGGTGTCCGAATTTTCCTCGAATCTCCTTATGCCACCACCTTTAACCTAGATATCTTTTTAAGCCAAAGGTCACTGGTGTTCAGTTCAGGTTTGTGACCTTTTTGGACCTTGAGAAGGTCAGGGTGACAATAACCTCAACCCTTATTTAAAGTTTTTAGCTTCAACAAGAGGCAACTTTCACGATAAACAGCATGGTTTTAGAAAGAAAAAGGTCATCGAGGTCATTTTAGATCAGTAAATTCCTTCCAGCCTTGTGAAGTTCAATGAGTAGCCTTGTTGACCTCTCTGAAATCAAGATGTTGAGAATTGTTTTCTTGATTGGTTTTCACTTTGACCTGACCTTCATATCTGACTCAGGGTAAATAGAATCAGTCATAATCTAAAATTAAGTTGTCTGGCTGTCGAATACACCGTCGCAAAGACGACATTTTATTCGGCTCAATCGACTAGTTCACGGACTTTGGGGTCTGATTCAGCTCATGCCTAATAGTTTTTTGTCTCAGCTCAGTTTAGACTCATGGCTTGCGTTGAGTCATCTGGTTCACGAACCACGCGACCTGCAAAATCAAAGATGTGGATGGATCGTTTCCACTCATATCCGGAGAGAACCAGCCAGCGGAGTAGCAAGTTACAAGTAAGGTATTGTTACCCGCGCTGTATTTGCTAGGCTGAAACTGCAAACTTGCTACTAGGCTGTGTTTACCTAGGTAACATGCTGCATACACACACACACACACACACACACACACACACACACACACACACACACACACACACACACACACACACACACACACACACACACACACACACACACACACACACACACACACGCACGCACGCACGCACGCACGCACGCACGCACGCACGCACACACACACACACACACACACACACACACACACACACACACACACACACACACACACACGCACACACGCACGCACGCACGCACGCACGCACACATGTATATATATATATATATATATATATATATATATATATATATATATATATATATATATATATGAAATTTATTAGGAAATTGAATTAATTTTACGAGTTTCAAGTCGCGACCGCGACACATGACCGCTTAGGGTCATAATGATACGACCTGGATGCTAACGGTCGCCTCCAACGGCTAAACCACGATGGCCTCGGCGTAGGCTAGTGAACGAGCCGCCGCGCCAAAGCGCGCGTCACCGACCTCGGCTACCATGTCTATCGACGTCGGGCGCGTCTGCCCTGTCACCGCCCACTCAGATCACCTCGTGTTTCAATGTGAAACGCTTAAGGCGTAGCCCACTACCCGTATTTACAGCCATTCACACAAAGTCGCAGATCAGCTTCTTGGTCGGGCTTTCGCTCTTCGTCCTCACAAGTTTGCAGCCACACTCGGTTCCACCCCAGAAAACGTGTGCCATACATTCACCCCATCCTTAAAAATGGGACCACACCTCTCGCTGAGAGAAAATATGGTACTCGCCAGATCTTGCATAGTGTCTCGCGTGCTGTGCGTAGTATATTTGTTCTGTGTCGGCTGCTCCCTTTAAACTTATGGGAGTGGGAGAGTAGATTTGCAAGTGCATTTTTCTGCTCGTTATTCTAATTTTGCGCCTTGCAATGAGTCACATTAGCGTTTCAAATGAGCAGCATTTGCACATGTATGAACATTCAATTATGTGCTATATCGAGGTAAATTCGCTGAGATTTGCGCATATGTGTGATTCAGGTCCGAATGGCCGAAGCGGCCAGAGATGCCGAGGACGGTCCCGCCAAAGAGCACTGAGTCGTCCGGTCGTAAGCCTGATGACCTTGGCGGGCACGGGGCGGGCCTGGCAATTGTCCCTTTCTATAACGTTAAAGACCATCTAAGCCACCGTGGCATGTAGTAGGTGTGACTAACTATTGTAACTATTACGAGTTAACGTGCTTATTTGTTCAAACCATACTTTCAATGTCCGCACCTCCACATTTACTCTTAGTGCATGCTCAGACATTCGCTCTCTTTGCTGTGGTCTTTTCGGGTCCCTACGCTTCCCTGGGGGAGGGAAGATACGTGGGACCGAACTCCTCCTCTTCCTACCATGCAGAGGCATGACACGTCAGGACCGGCCTGAACTTAGACAAGCCTCGGGCTACGGACCCAGTCACCCCGAGGCGCCCGACCTCGCTCAGTCACCCCGAGGCACCCGAACTCGCTCAGCTGTCGGTCGGTTATTTTAGGAGCCAGCCGCACCGATGGCCGCCTTTGCAGGCCACTAACACAGCGTATGAAACTGGGAACTAGGAATACAACTGGCGGCCCTGTCTGGCGTCTCCATGTCGTTCCTCCCCGACAGAAGGGTGTTCAACCGGCCACCCTGGCGCGTGTTAAACTGAACCGGCATCTCTGTATACATTTTTGGACTGCTGCGGTGGTGAGGAATCTTGTTGCGTCAATGACGGTTCCTGCGTCGATCCGGTGCTGACTGCCCTAGAGGGTCTTACGCGTCAGGGAGTTAATTGATGTAAAACATCTCTTTCTAATGGCCTTCGTGTCGACCAGGGGGACTCCACCTTGTGTCGTCAGAATGGCAGCCACTAGGCGTCCGCGCTGGAACGGAATGGCCCTCTAAGCCTTGACCGAAAGCGATAATGAGCTCAAAGTATTCTGCCCACGGAGCCTCTTGTTCGGAAAGTGCTAAGAAGTCTCAATAGTGCCCAACAGAAGCTTTGCTTTTCAAGACTTGATTCCAACCCTTTGAATGAATGGATTTCTGCGATCAGAGCTCACGCCAAGCAATGCTCGTTGTGTGAGCCCTGACTTCCACCATCCGATCGCGCAATTCCAAGCAACGACACAGTTTAGTGGTGAAAGTTTAACGTGTCACGATGCTTGACACGGCCCGTCCTGCACTCTGACGCCAATTAACTTTTAGCGCGACCGCTGCCACCAGCCACAGGCCATACTTGCCAAGGACAAGTAACGAGCGCCCAGAGCGACCTGAACTCATCCCGCCACGGGTGGGTGGATCGGAGGGCGGCGCTCTTACCAACTGAGCCACCGGGACGAACCGAGAATGGATCAAACCGAAGTGAAAAATGGCGAAAGGTCAAGTCATACTTACATGAAAACGTCCGTTGTTTTGCAGAACTGTCTGGTGAAACAAATTCCTTAAAGCATTGAGTCTGCGCGCTCGCAATCTCAGGAGCAGGAACAGCGATGGTCAGGGCTGTAGCTGCCGTGGAAGTGCGTTGGTCGCTGCTGCGCGCTGAGTCTGCGCGCTCGCAATCTCAGGAGCAGGAACAGCGATGGTCAGGGTCGCAGCTGCCGTGGAAGTGCGTCGGTCGCTGCAGCTAACACCAGGCGGCGTGCGCCAGGCGCGCGAGAACGGCCGTCGCGATACAATGCTTCCAAAAGATCATCAAAGTCACTTTAATCAAAATCAGTTCGCATCGTTCCAAGACTACACTAGGGTGTATGTTTTAGGTTTACAATTTTGAGAATGTCCTCTGAACTGGATGACAATTACAACAACGTGAACAATAAATATTATACTGATTCTCTTTCACTTTGACCACCACATTTAATGACCAGTGCAAGGCAGTGGCGGATCCAGAGGAGGTGGCCCGGGGTTATGCTCCCTTCCTCCCCCCCCCCATTGCGCCCCGCAGGGGCTCATAAGCTCCGAACGGGCACATGAACACATGCATTTATGAACGCAAATCACAGTAAAATCGGACTTCTTTGGACGTTTAGGCGACTAAGAACAGCCGCAAGCGAAAGTGAACGGAACACGAGTTGACAAAAATATTTCTTCACTGACTGGGAGGGTGTTGATCCGGAGATTTTAAGAATCATTCGCTGCCCAGAAGCCGTACGCTGTTCCCGAGGCCCTGTATGTCCACTGGCGGGATCAATCCGATCGGTAAGAAGCCTTTCACATTGCCCTTGATTTCTTTTGCATTTGCTCGGAATGCCCCGCGCTTTTGCTGGGGCTCTTTTCTCCCAGCATGCCGGGCACTTTCGTCAATCAGGAGCCTTCCACGGATTCTTCCCACGTGCAAGAAAGGCTCCATACGCTACAGCCGGGGCCCAAAATGTTAACCTGCCATGTTATTCTTGGTTGCTCAAGGGCCCTTCACGTTGGTAACGGTTAACCTACCGACACACTGGCGATATGATCATGGGCCCTCTTCATTGGTCTACGACGCCTTGAATTCCTTGTCATTTGCTTAGAGCCTTAGTCTTTTGTCTCGAGTGACATGTGTTAACCTGCTCGGGCACACTCGATCGTTTCGAGACCCTTCTCATTGAGTGTTGGGCACTTCCTATTTGGATGGAGGGCCCTTCGCTCTTGTCGGAGACCCATCTCTTAACCCGTTCGGGCGTGCTTGATCGTTCGAAGGCCTCCACATTGTGTTTTGGGTACTTCTAATTCCTTGAGGGGCGCAACACTTGTCGGGGCTCATCTGTTACGCTTCTTGGGCACACTCGATCGTCTGGGGGCCATTGCACTCCGTCTCGAGTAC